AGAACGTCTCGAAGACTATAACTATAAAATAAAGATAGAGGATATAAGTTCGTTGAATGTCACTTTATAGAAAATGCTAGGCTGCTGAAAAATTGGACATATTCAAGCATCAAAGCAGAATGAGCTATGTAACCTGTGACATACAAGAAAAGCAAGGCGGTAAAAGCATCCTGACAATGACAGGCAGTTTTTTTCATCCAGCAAGTTCTACTTTCTTTTGCTCAACTTCACTTTTTATAATTCTTTACCTGTACAACTATGAGATCTTCTGACGGCTTAGCTAAAAAGAATATTCCCCCTAAAACTTACACGGATGGAAAAGAGGCAAGCTCGTGACGGCCATGTTGTCGTAATTAACTTTCACTATAATGCCTTAGTTAATCAATGCGCAAGGTAGCGGGTGGCTCACTAGTCTTCCGCGTAGTTTCCAAGTTTGTTTTTCACTGGATGTCATGACTGGGTATTAGGGTTTCTAAGTTTTAGTCTTCCAAAGCTGAAAATAAAGGTCTCAAACCTTAACTTTAGATTGCCTTCTTATAACGATTCAAGAAATATACATATGACGGCTGTGGTATCGCATGCCACACCCACCATATGTATATTTCTACGTAAACTACGCGGAAGACTAGTGAGCCACCCGCTACCTTGCATATTCTACCTCTACGAGCGGAAATTGACTCAACTCGTTCGCTACCAATATAACATATAAAACCAGTACCTCCCACTTTTACACAACATTTCTCGGACTGTCCTAATTTTGTATGCCAGCTCGTTGCTCCTTATTTTTGTAAGACATGCTCACTTAGCCCTCACACGTAGAGCATGTCCAGCGGGACGTTAGTGAGTAGATCAAATGTAACAGTATCAACTGTCACATCTTCAATTGGCCTGGAAGTTTAATCTCAGATACAGCACTTGCTATGGGCCAACGCCTAGCGCTTGTCCTCGCGGTATGTTTCATGATTGATTAAACAGCCAGTGCTTGCGCGCATGCCTTTATTGTACTGTCGTTACATCTATGACTGTGTCAATAACAGTTGTTTGTTGTCAATAACTTCAGCTCAAGCCGAAATGTTGAGTGTTTTAACATCTTGAACCGACGGTCTCAGCACATCAGGCATCCCGAGAAACACCATATAACGGATGGCTTCTTTACCTCATCGTTTGTCTGACGGTATTCTGCATATTGAATGGTCCCGTAATTGAACCTCCAAGAACATACTGATCCACGCCAACTCGGCTCCCCCCGCAGCAACGAAACGAGCAGTCACTCGCCATGATCAAAACCGCTAAAGCAGTGTGCACTGGCAACGACGAACGTTTAGAGTCACGAAAACTGGCATCGAAAATCGTGCGTACTAACGGCTATGTGCAACAGGTAGGGCAAGACTAAAGCTTTGAAACGCAGCACATTCGCGAGGGAAACGAAAATAAGACATCTTTGCATCCCTGTTGTATCTGATAAACTTAGCGAGGCGACAAGACAATGCATATACAAACTCAACTGGAAAACGATGTTATATTTGTTCAAATCTCACATGATAATTTGTAAAGCAGTTAATTCGGAGTAGGCTACACGATAGCGCATGCGTCCTACAGCAATGCAGTGTCTGTCCCTACGAAAAATTAGGAGACTGTGCAGATGCAGGTGTAGTATAGCAGTTGGAGCGTCTCAGCGGTCAAGACTGCTACATAGGACGGGTAGAATGCTATGCATAAGGCTAAAGGAACATCTAGCAGGATCAAGACCACTATCAGCAACACCGTTGGGCCAACACTGAATCGTGAAAGCTCTATATTGTCCTATGAGACTGATATATAGCAAGAGAACTTCTTAAAGCAGGTATTTTTATTATGGCATTCATTTTTGGTTTCGCGAGAAAACCAAAAATGAATGTCAAAAATAAATATGTGTCTATCACCAGTGACGTTCTGCCGTATCTATCGTTACGCAATCTAACAGCTGCACATAAAAGCATAGTTTCACTGGGTGGCACTCAGTGACTCCGTTACTCAGTAGCTGTGCGGACTTACTGAAATGCATAAACTCAAGGTCCGCTCGTTTATTCTCCTCCAAAGTCTCAATTCGCTAGCCTTTCCCCAGGTCTAGGGCGAGTGTGAGAGGAGGCTCCGATGGTGTATTGTCCAGAATAAAGTAAACCTATGATCTTTTTGAGACCTCTGAAGAAGATGAGACAGTCGAAAACGTCAGGTCTAATAAATAAGTCCACCAACAAACCTGATTTGGCAGAACACGGCACATTGCTGATCGAGTAACATATTTTTATTGGTAGGTTTACAATCAAGCTGACTAATAATAAGATGAGTATTGCGACAATTGCTGTTCTGATTGTCAACTTTTAATCTGTATTTGATTTGTTTCTAAAGATTATATTCATCATAAAGTGTGATTGTGTTATCTTGATTGCTAAACGAGAACCTCATTATTATATAGAGGCGGACTGGACCTTGCACACATGCACTTTGAGTTAGAGGGTCAAAGACTATTATCAGTTATAAAGCGATATATTATTATCGATTTTTCAGCGTTTCAAAGGGTGTGACCTGATTTGGAAAAAAAGCAAACATATTCTTAATGAAAGGAGCTTTTGGAAGGGCAAGAATCATCATCACTCGCACCACAATACTGGAATCAGGACAATTTTTTGGGCATTCTACAAAGAAAAACTTCGTCTAGGTGCAAAAATCCAAACATATTGAAAGCACACAGAAAAAACCCCCAACGAGAATAAATATTTGTCCGCTTGTACAAAGTTGACCAAGGAAGATCATTGACAATTACAAAATATCAAAGCAACAGTTTTGGCAAAAGGATATTCTGGAATTGCCAGAACCAAATAATCAACTGCTGCGAACAAATATCGTGACAGAAGCAAGAGCGAAATTAGCTTGCGAGAAGCCATCTGCCTCCGAAACTGGACAGGACAAGAAGCAGCGTCAAACAGTGTCAATGCGTTCTGAGTTTGTAATAAAGAATTAAGGCACCATCTGGACTGATCCAGACTTACATCCGCGAAAACTGGTTGCTTATGGGCTATAATCTTGGGACAGCTTTTTATGAAGTGGCGCCTAAGAGAACATCTTTGACTCAATAGCAACTTGCATATTCTTGCACTGATTTCTCCTAAGTGGATCGCAGGTGTCATGTGAAGCATATGAAATACCTGATTTCTGAGATAGGAAAGCGCTGCATAACGAACTTCTCATTTGAAAGGGAGTTTTTAGTCGTACCTATGCAATTTTTTAAAGATGCCATTTTTCTGACAGGCTTCTGATTTGAGATTCTGAAGAAAAAGAATGTGGCAGCGATCCGCTGTAAATATTTACACTATTAATCAATTTTGTGGAGTTTTCACTCTGAATGTTCACAGAATGACATGTTACCTGCATAAACTAAAACTTATGTAGATCACTTTGAAAAACCCTCTTCACTTTTCGCATTTTCTTTCTCGGTCTACCAGGTAGACATGTTTTATAGCATACTGTCATCTTGAAAATAACTGCTAGATCTGATCTCGAAGGTAGCGAAGTTTAACCTAGAGGTGTAAAGATTTGATCAGTTCAGATGAGGGTGTCGTAAGCCACCACCCATGAGTAAAATCAAAAATTTTTTCTTGTGACAAACGATTTTAGAGGAATGACTTAAAGACATTGTCCAACTCAACTGAAGGATGGCAAGATCTCAATGCCGGCGGTGTGGCTACCGACTAACGCAACAGTTCAAGACCGACCGAAAAAGGAGGACTCCGAAGCGAGAAGATCGCTTCGGGAAAAAGGGAGATACTCCAATCCCGCCTACTTGACAAGATATAACTTGGCAAATGCTGTAGCTATTCTAGAACGCAACGTCTAAACTTGACAAGGAGGAGGAACATATAGTACCGCCCCTTTTTTCCGAAACTATTTTCTTGCTTCAGAATCTACCTTTTTGATCGAACTTAAACTGTCGCGTTACTCAAGACTACACTAAGGTGCTGCGTTTGCATCCCACCACCCTCTATCTGACCTGAACATTGCCTTTATACATCTTCTCCAGCTCTGTCCGCCCAAACTTCCTTCTTGCTGTTGGAATTAGGGACAAATGATGTCATGTCGTGATTATACGACACAACGACTCAACTCCTGTGGCCGTATTCATCATTGATACCTTGAGGTAAATTCTACCTCCAGGTAGTTTTATCACTCATTATCAGCAAAATTACATTGAGAATTTACCTCAAGGTACTTTTGTGAATACGGGTACCTGCTGATAATGTATGATAAAACTACCTGGAGGTAAAATTTACCTCAATGTATCAATGATGAATACGGCCACTGGATCAACTCTAGTGCATGTTCGAGAAAAAACTTCAAAGAAATTACATTCTATTGATTTCACATTCCCTGGATCGCGTGAATACCCTGTTCAATCCAGGGAAGAATGCGAGATGAAAAAGTACATTCTTTTACTCATTAACCTTACGATTCGATCGAGTCCTGCCAATTGTCTATTATAAATCGAAAATCATAATTTCAGAATCTACTAATAGCGGCTAGCGCTTTCCCAGCAGTCTCATTTTTTGCCTTACATGTTTAGTCAAAGTGGCCTTTTCAGCTGAGATGTAGATTGCAAAATTTGCCTTTCTTAATTGCGCAAACTTTGTGGACGAGTAGTTATGAGTGTTCAGTGGAGCAAAAAATTGAATGTGCATTTGAGATAAAATGAGTTGTCGAGAGTCGAAATTTTAGAATTTTACTATGTAGTCCTTATTAAAGCAACCAAGTCTGACATACTAGGTCGTGTAATGAGTTCTTTCTCATTTTTTGTTTTAATTTTTTCTTGACAACATTGACTATATTTGAGATAAAGTGTATATGCTTTTGAAAGCTCTAAGTCTGCTCTGCAGGCTCATATGCATCATTCCCCACCATAGCGGGAAATTGAAAAAGATTTTAATCATGGAACAAGGAGTCCAAAGAGCCGAAAAATCAACTTTCGA